AGAAAAGAACAGCAGGAGCCGACCAGCATGAAGATGATCACAGTAAGTAAGTGGCACTTTGGGTAGGGAAGTGCACGAGGTGAGAGAGAAGGCGAGATATTTTTTTAAAAAGCAGAATTTGACAAGAGTGCCCTTCTTCAAAGGACTTGCTAAATGATGCTGATACGTATTCCAGTGATGAAACTGGGTAACCGTCTCTAGCTCACCATCGTCAATAATCATGTATGGTCTGCCAACAGCACCTTGCCTTAATCCAAATTCACAACACGCATCAGCGAATGAGAATATTTAATACTGCAATTTTTGCAACAATGTAAATAAGTTCTTTTTCAAGTATGTGATTATACACTTCTTATTATTACCTATTTATTATTATATTTATTTGCCATTAAACATATTCTAATGTGTATTATACACTGAAACAAGGTTGGGTCAATTTGAGCCCACCCCCAACCGATTCTAGAAAATTTGTAAAGGACCCGAGTGCCCCCCCCCCCCCCACCCCTTTTTCAACGTTTTGTTTAGGTCGACGCTTCTGACAGAACCACTAATACCACCACTGATAAAACCTATGACAATAACAATGATAACAGAGATGCTAGTGCTGCTGCAGCTACTACTATACCTGAACCATTATAACTGCAGATGTATTTTCGTTTGTTGTCGCTACAGCTGCATTGCGTTTAATAATCAGCCAGTTTCATTTCATTTTCTTAAACTGAAATAATCGACGGGAGGTAACCTCGTTTAAGAAGCGAGTTCATCCATTCTTATTTGACCTGCCCCTCTATAACTTCAGAAAATTAACATAACCAGTAAACTTTGTAAAAAAAAAAAGGGGGGGGGGGGGAGGGGAGGGTGAGTGTGTGTGCGCGCGCATGTGGGTGTGTGTGTGCGCGCACACACTTACCCACCCACACACACAGAGAGAACTGAACAAAGCCTTCAAGTCGTCTCCTTATAGTTTGCTATTCTTATTGTAGTTATAGAATATTGTACTAGTTTTCCATTTGTGGGATGGAATGTTTTGTTATTTTGAAGCCCCACCCCGGCCTGTGCTGTGGGCACTAAATATAGCCAGGCCATAAATATAGCTTAACGGCTGAACGGTGTTTCCAGGACCTCTCCACAGGTGATCCTCATCTGCATGGTGGCACTTTGAGTCACTGGGTGTTTATCACTTGTGTGATGTCCTGGTGGGGTACAACCTACCTATCTACCTATCTATAGCTATAGCTTTCAAGGGAAATAATGAGTAATGTTTCAGCAGGCGTTCAGAGAGATGCCATAGCCACAGTGGAAATACCATGAGTATGTCACTTCCACAGAGACAACATACACTGTGCTCCATCCTCAGAGACAACATACACTGTGCTCCATCCACGGAGACAACATACACTGTGCTCCATCCACAGAGACAACATACACTGTGCTCCATCCACAGAGACAAGATACACTGTGCTCCATCCACGGAGACCACATACACTGTGCTCCATCCACGGAGACAACATACACTGTGCTCCATCCACAGAGACAAGATACACTGTGCTCCATCCACAGAGACCACATACACTGTGCTCCATCCACAGAGACAACATATCTGTGCTCCATCCACAGAGACAACATACACTGTGCTCCATCCACGGAGACAACATACACTGTGCTCCATCCACGGAGACAACATACACTGTGCTCCATCCACGGAGACAACATACACTGTGCTCCATCCACAGAGACAACATACACTGTGCTCCATCCACAGAGACAACATATCTGTGCTCCATCCACAGAGACAACATACACTGTGCTCCATCCACAGAGACAACATACACTGTGCTCCATCCACAGAGACCACATACACTGTGCTCCATCCACAGAGACAACATACACTGTGCTCCATCCACAGAGACAACATATCTGTGCTCCATCCACAGAGACAACATACACTGTGTTCCATCCACAGAGACAAGATATACTGTGCTCCATCCACGGAGACAACATACACTGTGCTCTATCCACAGAGACAAGATATACTGCGCTCTATCCACAGAGACAACATATCTGTGCTCCATTCACAGAGACAGCATATCTGTGCTCCATCCACAGAGACAACATATCTGTGCTCCATCCACAGAGACAACATACACTGTGCTCCATCCACAGAGACAACATATCTGTGCTCCATCCACAGAGACAACATACACTGTGCTCCATCCACAGAGAAAACATACACTGTGCTCCATCCACAGAGACAACATACACTGTGCTCCATCCACAGAGAAACATATCTGTGCTCCATCCACAGAGACCACATACACTGTGCTCCATCCACAGAGACAACATATCTGTGCTCCATCCACAGAGACCACATACACTGTGCTCCATCCACAGAGACCACATACACTGTGCTCCATCCACAGAGACAACATATCTGTGCTCCATCCACAGAGACCACATACACTGTGCTCCATCCACAGAGACAACATACACTGTGCTCCATCCACAGAGACAACATATCTGTGCTCCATCCACAGAGACAAGATACACTGTGCTCCATCCACAGAGACAACATACACTGTGCTCCCTCTTAAGCTACCTGCTATTATTATTATTATTATCAAATAAACCGCCATGCATCGCTGCACATGTGATTCACACCCACTATACCAAGATAGTGACAAATCACTTTTTATGGACCAGGTACAACAGCACTGGAAACAGTAAAGTTATACTTTAAAAAAATATATTCAACTACAAAATAAATGAATTACAAATATAACAGTTCAAAACATCTGTTCATTGGTTTAAAAAATAAAGTTGAATCAAAAATGATACTGAAAAAAAATTACCATAAAGAAATTAATGGAACAGTATGTAGATGGTAGAATATAATTGTCCATTCTGGTAAAATTTCGCTTGCAATGTTGTTTACGTCTGAAACACAAATAAAGCCATCCTGGCACAGCTGTGGTATGAGGAATTTGGTTATGTGACTAACATCAACAATTGTAATAAAAAGCCACTTGAAGTGATAACAATCACATTTACATAAGAGACATATCTGGCTATCTGAACATTATCTTTGTTAACTTTTCATTGTTACAACGTATGTCTTTTACTGCTCTCACTATAGTAATTTTTAGGCCATGGATGGCGGCAAGTAAGTTTTACTAATTTCCTGCAATTTACAAAGCATCTTTGTATTGCCAGTTTGTAAATAACATAACTTTAACTCTTTTAGTACCAACCAATGCATCGTATGTTTGTAGATTTCTGTCTCTATGATATGTCTTTCTTACCTCCTTGTGATACATACAGGGTTATTATAACGCTTTCACCTTTCAACCCATTAATGCTAAGAAAAATGGGTCACAAAACAGTGGTAATTTCTGGAAAAATCTGTTTAAAAAAAATATTGTACACAGGAAACTAAAAAATTTTTAAAAATTAATTTATCTATATGTTTTAAATTTTTGTTTCAAAATATATAAAGATTTATACAAGCAGTAATCAACAGAAATGGGGAAATTAGATAAAGAAATTACATCAGATACAGAAAACTGAATTATTAGGACAGCTAGCCCTGCCTACCTCCCCTTGTGATGCCACACCATACAAGATATACACCAAAAGCGGAGAAGGATGTACAGCACAAGGTAGACCAAGAACAAGATGGAAAGATGACATCAGAGAAACTCTACAACAGTACCATATGCTATGGTCCAGGCAACCAGAAGAGCAAGAAGCATAACTCTACATCTCATTTGAGATCCAAAGTGGTTAAAAAACAAAGTGAAAAAGAAGAAGAATCAATTAAACAGAATGCATTCCCAGAGGATTAAAACAAATATGTTTTGGGTAATATCTCTATCACTGAGGTTTCTGGGAAAATTTCAGGTCAACGTGGCTTTAAGAAAGCTATTGGATTTACAAGGAAACCCTTTTAAATGCTGTATTTAGTTAACATATTCACATCCGGGCCTCCTAAACAGGATGCAGATGCACAGAGAATGAATGACATTTAACTACGCTCTTCAAAAACAGGTCGCTGCAGAAATGGCTATTTATCTGCATTTACAGCCTTTTCAGGGCAATAAGGTTAGGCTACTCTGTGCTAGTTGTTAATTTGACTCTTCTACGTTATGGAGTTATTAACTCCTTCGGACCTAAACACTTACTGTGTAAGAAACATATTCTCTTTATATTGTGAGTTTTAGTAACACATGTCTGGGACTCAAAGAGTTGATATTCTTTAAAAAAAAATTGCATTCTAATTTACCTTACCAACTTAGAAATCTGATAAATCCTAATTGATTTACACACAAATTCTATAATTAACCTATGCTAGCATTAACCTTTTGACAATTTAAGTACCATTACTTTCATGACAGTCTGTATTTAAATTATACAAATATGTAAACTGGATGTGCATGCTAGAACTCAAGTATGGAACAAGCTTTTTAAGTCCAAAAGTGGATAAACAGCTAGAATTGTCTGTCAGAGTTTACAGCCAGTGAACAAGAAGAAGAAGAAGAAAAAGAAGAAGAAGAAGATAGAAACAGCTAAGGATAAAAATAACCTGTTACAGTGATGGAAACTACCTTTTACACTTTAAAAAAAATTACCTCGTCCAGTGGTAAAAGCTATCTTTTACACTTTATAAAATGACGTCTTCCGGTGGTGAAAACTATCTTTTACACTTCAAAAAATCACCTCTTCTGGTGGTGAAAACTACCTTTTATAGTGACACAAACTACATCTGACAGTGATATAGCTACAGTTTGCAGTTATTAAAATATACTTCTTTCAGATCAGGTTCTATTTTTTTTTTCAGTTTTAGCTCTGACAAATGAACGAGTATTTCTCACACAAATTCTGTAATTAACCTGAATCAGCACTAACTACCCAGTTATGTGCTGAGTATTCACTTGGTTCTGGTATAGTCAAACAGCTTCTGATTTCTTCAAACTAGGGAATGCTTCCCCAGACCACAGCCAATGCTAGGAGTGAGCTTCTGTTAATTGGAAGACTTCTGGTTCGAACCTCTCTTGACTTGGGAATTCATAGTTCTGCTTTTTCCTTTGTTCAAAATCTTTTGACTAAAGAAAGACAGAGATACAATGCTTATTGAATATGCATTACACTGATTTGACATCAAATATCTAATATGTAACATTGATGTGATACCTATAAATCTAATATGTAACACTGATGTGATACCCATAATTCTAATATGTAACACTGATGTGATACCTATAAATCATATATGTAACACTGATGTGATACCTTTAAATCTAATATGTAACACCGATGTGATACCTATAAATCATATATGTAACACTGATGTGATACCTATAAATCTAATCTGTAACACTGATGTGATACCTATAAATCTAACATAAAATATTGATGTTTCCCTTGAAGATTTCGGACCTCATTTTGTGGGGGGAAAAGATCAGATCCACTTCCTTCGTAACAAGCATGTAAATGTCAACTGAACAGAAGTGTTTTCTTCAAAGTTGGAGTGCTTTAGCCTGATAGGCAAGGAGCCAATAGTCTTTATGCAAATAAGCCAGATCTGTAAAATGGATATGCACACAAAACTCAAGGTCTAGAAAAAGACAAAAGACCAGAAGTGGACAAACATCCAGAACTTTTTGCTGGAGTTTATAGCTGGTCAACATGAAGAAGAAGACACTGATGTGATGTGTTCCTAATGTGTAAGATTAATGTGATTCTCATGTGAACACACAAAACATTATACCTAATGTATAACAATAAGGTGATTCTCGTGTGAACACACAAAACATTATACCTAATGTATAACATTGAAATGATTCTCATGTGAACACACAAAACAGTATACCTAATGTATAACATTGATGTGATTGTAATGTGAACATGCAAAACATTATACCTAATGTATAACATTGATGTGATTCTAATGTGAACATACAAAACATTATACCTAATGTATAACATTGATGTGATTCTCGTGTGAACATACAAAACATTATACCTAATGTATAACATTGATGTGATTCTAATGTGAACATACAAAACATTATACCTAATGTATAACATTGATGTGACTTTCATGTGAACAGACAAAACATTACACCTAATGTATAACATTGATGTGATTCTAATGTGAACATACAAAACATTACACCTAATGTATAACATTGATGTGATTCTAATGTGAACATACAAAACATTATACCTAATGTACAACATTGATGTGATTCTAATGTGAACATACAAAACATTATACCTAATGTACAACATTGATGTGATTCTCGTGTGAACATACAAAACATTATACCTAATGTATAACATTGAAGTGATTCTAATGTGAACAGACAAAACATTACACCTAATGTATAACATTGATGTGATTCTAATGTGAACATACAAAACATTACACCTAATGTATAACATTGATGTGATTCTAATGTGAACATACAAAACATTATACCTAATGTATAACATTGATGTGATTCTAATGTAAATATATACAAAACATTACACCTAATATATTCTCATTTGAACACACAAAACAGACCATCAGCAGTGATAGCAATGTAGTAAGTCTATTCACACATGTACAAAGAGTAATCTTAAATTATTTTTTTTTGCAATCGCCATTAAAAGTACAGTTGGCACAATGTGTTGTGGTTTACAGCTAGGCTGTTAAATCTGCATTTTTAAGTCTTTTACAACAAGCTTGCTGAGGGGATTGGGGGGGGGGGGGGGGCAAAGGTCCACCCTATGCCCCCCTCCCCCCTCCCAGAACAAGGTCCAAGAACATAAAGAGGAAGTCTTAAGTTAAATTTCCAGTTGAGGCAGGTTTTATAGCTCTGATGTAAATTTAGCTTCAATTTTTGTGGTTGCTGTTTATAAATCTTTTGTAAAGTTGTCGTCGTTATGAGAAGAAAAAAAATAGAACATGTTGTGACAACAGAACAGATTTGTAGAAAGAGAGATAGAGGAAGGCAACACAAGAAGCTTCTTGGCAGTCTTTTATCATGACATGGAAGCCATCAGCCCATGAAGTAATACATGCTTTTAGAAACTGGAGGTGGTGGAAAAGCATGAATGTCAGTCAAGAAGGCACTTAATGTTGATACAAGAAGACAGTTGATGAATTCTGTTTATCTACTGCATGCACTGTTGAGTGAAAGTTGTTTACTTCTTCTGGGCAAGTGTGGATTGTAACATTTTGAGTCTTCTTCTACTTCACTTTCACCAGAAGCATACTCTAGTGGGAAGTTCTGGTTGTTCATCCACTTCTGGACTTTAGCATTGTTCCAGAACCTCAGCTTTGCATGCACATCCATTTTACAGATCTGGCTTATTTGAAGGCACAAAACTGAACAAAGGGGGAACATGCAAGGAGTTGTGGAGAGAACAAACTAACAGTAAACATACACAAGACCCCATAAGAAGACTCAGCAGAAAGCAACATACAACAAGTTTCCGTCTACGAACAGGACACTGCAGGCTTAACTACCACATGCATAAAATAAAGAGTGTACAGTCCCCACAGTGTGCATGTTAGATAGGACCACAAACACCTGAGCACATTCTGCCAACCTGCCCACTCTGCCTCCAACTTCGAAAATAAACCTGGCCTCAAGAGCAAAATGTGCAGAGCAAGCTACGGACAACCATGAAGGACCTGATACTAACATGCGAGTTCATAGAGGCAGCCCACCTGAGGGTCTGATATGAGCATACGAAACCGAACGCAAAGAAGAAGAAGAAGAATGCAGAATATGAGTTCCTCGCCTCTCAGGTAGAAGCACTTTTACTTCAAAGGAAACGCCCGTATATGGTCAAATTTTATGACATGTATGTTGGGGGGCAGTGGGTCCATCCTTATTCTCCCCAAAAATGGACCCCGGAAACCACACAGGAAAAATTTGAGTCAGGCAAGCCTCTAGTATGAAAAGGGTTATTTCCTTTTGTCTTCTTTATATGTCAGCTCTGTGGCTAAGTCAATGCGAACGCTTCGTAATGCCGGGGTACCGGGTTCGATCCCAGCTGCAGGCCATAGGCCTTGCATTACTGTCGTGGAATGATAAGCCATTGCACATCAGTCCGTAAGACTGGTAACTTGACCTACCTGTAATCGGCACAACATTCAAACTTGGACTCGTCCGGGAAGGTGTATCTTGTCTTGTCTTGTCTTGTCCACAATTGCCTCACAGCGTAGTGGGGAGTCGCAGTTTTCTATCCTGGGCCAGGTGTGTTGCATGTGTTGTTGTTAGTTCGTGTTGCCTCAGGATCTCTGATATATTGTCTATCCATCGTACTCTCGGTCTGCCTCTTGCTCTAGGGCAGTAGTGTTGTTCGTTGTATGCTCGTAGAGGCAGTTGGTCGGTTTGCATTCGCATCAAGTGGCCAAACCACTCGATTTGTTGCTTCTTTATGTATTGCAGGCATGGTGTGGTTCCTACAATTGATCTAATGTTCTCGTTTTGAACTCTGTCTCTCCTTGTGACATTGGCAGCCTTACGTAAGCATCTCATTTCGCACGTCGTGATCTTTTTCTCCTGTGCTCTTGTTAGGGACCAGGTTTGGCATTGATAGCAGAGGGTTGGTATAAATATGCAATTTATCAGTTGTCGTTTTAGTGCCATAGTGATGCTTGGGTGTTTTAGCAGTGGGGAGAGTTGGTAAGTTACTGCGTTCACCTTTTGACATCTTGCCTCAAGTTCCCTATCAATTCTTCCATCATCTGTGAAGATGCTCCCCAAGTATTTAAATTGCTGCACTTGTTTGAGTTGTTCGTTGTTAACTTGAATAGTTAGTATATTAGGTGTTCTACTTATTTTCAGAATTTCTGTTTTGGTGATGCTGAAATTCTGTGTATATAGTCCCTTATATCAATATATGCCTTTATCGGACAAAATTATAATGTCTACATCTTCTAGTTGCTTTGACTTAACACAACTTCTAAATGTACATCTATGGGATAAATATGAGAGGAGTTATTTGAGGTTCCGTGGAAACCGATTTACTCCTTGCCCCTGGATACTAGGAACTACTTCTTACCAACGCCTGAAGAAGGCATTTTGCGCCATTCTTGTTGCCGGCTTCTAAGAGTTCAGACGTGTCAATCGACGCCTGTAAAATTCATTTGGAAAAGGCGATCTGTAATGTCTAGGACTTTTCATATGCTTGGGATGAACCCTTTGTGAGGAGCTGGCAGAAGATTCACAGTCCAACCAACACCCACCAACCATAACCCATCCATCAACTAACCCATTACCTACCACTTATCACCCAACTACCAAGTGTGGAGATTGATGTCGGTTTGAGGTGCCATATACCCCAAACTTCCTACAGTGCCAGAACATGTGTGTAGCTCATGGACAGTGCTGCTAATGACTAGTGGGAGCCATTTGCTGTGTGTTGATCCAGTGTGGTGTCCTTTATGGTGAGGTACTCCTCTACCAGTTGATCCAGTTGAGGCAGAGTCACCAAAGACAGTCGAATCATCAGGAGCTGAGGGAAGCATCATAGACGGAAAGAGGATAAGTTCAGTTTGATGCCTTATGTGCTATATTCCTCACAGCTCCCATGTTTCCCAATGATGACAAGGTGTTATCTCAAGGACCTTCTGGCTGTTAGGGTATCTTTATACTCTGGACATTATATTCTGGGATCCTTCCACTGAAATCTGGCATTTACTTCACTATTATATGTATATGTTATATTGATTACATGCATTCATTTTCATGGCTGACTTAGGTGTCTCTATTTCACCTTTTTTTTAAAGTGTTTAGCAGTTGTGTGTGTATGAATCTTCACTATATGTGTTAACATGGTTATGATAATGAACTATCATAACCTGGGGGCTTTCTTTAGTAAGTAGTGGGGGTGTCCAGCCAAGTGTGCCTAGGAATATTGTATTCATATACAGATATATTTTGTAGTGCCAATACTTGAGTTGCCCTACTCCAGAAATAAGTTGAGCGTATATTGGCCACGGGGAATCCCTTAGACCAATACGAGCCAAACGAATCAACATAATTATTTCTGAGTGCTGCTGGTTCTGAAGGAGAAATCCTTACATCAGGCACGCGACAGGAGTGATATGTGACAACTGGTTTCAACAGTGGTATCGGGGAGCTGACCGTCCAGAAAACAATGGCAAACTACTGGACATAAATTGCCTAGTGGAACCACACAACAGCCAGGGGCTGATGGGGTTGGTTCTGCAACGTCCTGTAAAGGATACGCAACTAACCTTCTTTATACATCTTGATTTATTTTTATGCTTCTGAATACAACTTTTATTTGTTCACTGTTATCATGTAGTCCTTTTTTATCAAATTACCAACTCCAAATCATATATACTGTGTTTTCCTGTAAAATAGTCTTATCCTAGCTTCAACATGCACTAGGGCCTTTTAAAACTGAATGTCTTAATTTGTAAGTGTGTGTGTGTGTGTGTGTGTAAGTGTGTGTGTGAGTGGGCCTCTCTCTCTCTTTTTTGTTCTCTCAGATAAAAAAAAATCCTCATATATTCGTGTATAAAATTCTACATTTACTTATACAGTCATGCCATCTTCTTCTGAAATACCGTCATAACTTTCCAAATTCCAAATTCTGGCCTGAATTTCTTGCGTCCCCATTTCCTTAGAAACCCTTCAACCCATCTCTCATATCCAGCAATAAAGCGTTTCTTAACTGAGTATTTCCTGTCCATGTAGCCTGCTCGTAGTGCATTGGTAACACAGTGTCAGCTATATTTTTCACTTGAATTCTTCACTCAAGTCATAACTAGGGCCTCCACCTCAGAACAGGGCACAACCGATTACGTAACCACAAGTAGACAAAATTCAAGATAGGCGTATCAGCCATGTGCACCTGTGGAAAGGTGCCTCAGACAGCAGAGCATGTACTCCAGGACTGCACCGAATTTGACACATTAAGGCAAACCTTTTGGCCAGAAAGAACAACAGTGGAACGTAAACTCTATGGACGACTGAATGAATTAACAACAACAGTGAAATTTATACAAGAGACAAAATTGCTGATATAGGCAACTTATTTCAGGCGAACGAAAGAAGAAGAAGAAGAAGATAACTAGGGCTTTTTTGGGGTCGGGCTTATATTTAAAGCCTCTGGACGAACTGTGTGCAAGCTTATTTTGGAGAGTTGGTTTTTCCAGGGAAAAACGGTACGCCCTTCCCCCCATCACCACCACCAAGATATTAAAGAAAGAGCATACGTGATGATAATGAAAAATAAACAGCAGACAAGGACATATTACCTCCCCGATAATGTCTGAGTACTCCTTATCATAGACACTTCCATCACGTATAAAGTGTCGTCTGACATTGTTCCTGTAAGGATGGAAGTGAGCAATGAGTGTCTCCCAGTTGATGTTCTCAAGACCGATTTCTCTGATCTCACACATTTTATCTTCGATATAACTGACCGGGTTTTCTGGTCGCTCCATCATCAAGCAGCTCAGTAGAGATTCAAAGAGCTAAGAATAAATAAACAAAAAAAAATACATGAAAATGAAAACAAGAAGAAATTCATAACAATTAATAAATAAACAAGAGTAACTAACAATATATAAACAATAATAAAATAACTACACAATATAAACAAAAATACATCATCATCAGGTGCCTTGCCGACTGGGGTGGGCGATCATGCCTCTCCATAATCCGGGATCTCCTGCAGCATGTATCAGTTCGTGTGCCGATACACCTCCATGCCATGCAACAAGACTGTCAAGAATCTTCTCTCGTTGTCTTCCTCTAACCCTCCTTCCACAGATCTTTCCAGTGGTCACAACATGTTCTATTTTCCCTCTTCTCATAACATGGCCGAAAAATGATGACTGTCTCCTTCTTATGTCTGTGACAAGTTGTCTTCGGGCTCCCGCCTCTTTCAAAGCCTCTTGGTTGCTCTTTTTGGCTGTCTATGGTATTCTAAGCATTCTTCTGTAAAACCACATCTCTGAGGCCTCTAAAAATTGTTTGGCCTGCTTACTGATTGTCCAGGATTCACAGCCATATGTTAAAACTGGATGTATGTAGCAAGCAAGAATTCTTTTTCTAACTCTCAATGACAAGGATATATTGCACAAGATGTTTTTCATTTTATAAAATGCAGTTTTTGCCTGTCCAATTCTGTTTCTTATTTCAGTTATGCATCTTCCATCTGATGTTATCCATGTGCCCAGATACTTAAATTTCTGTACTTGTCCTAAAATAACACCATTGACTTTTATTACACATTTAGGAATAATATGTTTCTTTGATCCCGCCATTACTTCTGGCTTTCCATTATTCAAACTGAGGCCCATTCTTCCACTTTCTAACACCACAATGTCTATCCTTTCCTGTAATTCTTTCTGACTTGTTGCTATCAACACTGTGTCATCAGCATAAAGTAAATTGTTTATATTGTGCCCACCAACCACAATTCCGGGCATATCAATTAAAGATCTCATTATGTATTCACTGTATATTGAAAACAAATCAGGTGAAAGTACACATCCTTGTCGTACGCCCCTCTTTATGCTTTGAAATGTACCTAAACAGTTGTTAATTCTTATAGCTGCTGTTTGCTGCTAACACATATTCTTTATTATTCGTAGATCTTTCCCATTAATGTTTAATTTTTCTAACAGTTTGATTACTTCTTCGTGCTTCACACAGTCAAATGCTTTTGTATAGTCTATGAAGCATAAGTACAAACCAGTCTTTACTTCTATAGCTCTTTCTGACAATGTCCTTAGGATGTATATGGCATTATTTGTACCTTTTCCTTCTACAAATCAACATTGTTCATTGCTGATTTCTGGTTTAATTTTGTTTCTTTTTCTTCTCATAATTATTCTCAGTAAAATCTTAGTCATGTGACTCATAAGACTTATTGTGCGATGGTCTTCACATTTTATAGTGTCAGATTTCATTGGCAGAGCTATAAATATGGATTTTAAAAGGTCATTTGGAATATACCCACTATTATAAATATCATTTAAAAGTTTAGTTATTATTTCAATTCCGAATTCTCCCAGTGCTTCAATTTCTTCCAGTGAGATGTTGTCTGGCCCGGATGCTTTTCCTTTCTTCATATGATGTATTGCATCCTCAACTTCTCCAGTCATTATTGGTGGACCATCATTGTTGGTCTGCAGTTCTACGTCTGGTCTATTATCATCATACAATTCCCCTATATACTCTGTCCATCTGTTAATTATATTACTATGTCCCATTATTAAGTTACCATCTTTTGATTTCAAACATGCAGTGCTGTTATGTGTCATCTTTCCTGTTAACATATTTATCTTTTGGTACATGGAATGTGAGTCTTTCCTGTGATTTTCCCCAATCTCTGTACACATTTGATTCAGCCAGGCTTCTTTAGCCACTTTGCATTTGTTCACTACTTCTTTTTGTATTCTAGAGTATTCTTCTTTATCATTTTTTTTCTTCCTTCTTTCATCCATCAACTGCAGAATATTGGTTGACATCCATTTCTTTTTTGCAACTCTATGGGTTGGTGGGAATGTCTCTTTAGATGTCTGCCGAATTGACTCACGCAACATATCCCACTTTTCATCAATAGTCTGTATAATTTCCATTTGCATTATACCGGTTTTGTACAGTGACATTGTACTGTTCCTTAATTTCTTTATCCGTTCTAAGAATTCTTAATTTTAACTTGATGTTCTGTGGTGTTTTTCTAATGTTCTTTAGTTTTATTCTAATTTTTTCTACAACTGGAACATGGTCACTAAAGCAGTCTGCTCCTGGTCTAGTTTTTGCTCCAAATAAGCTGCTCTGGAATCTTCTTGAAATACATAAACAACAATAAATATATAGACATAAATTAAATACATATTAGGGATAAAAATTTATAAATAGACAATGAAGGAAGTTTTTACACTAAATTTGGATCCTCAAGTGAGCACAGCTCAAAAAAGATACCAGGAAATTCCTGCAAAAGTGAAGGTGGCTATTGTGATGTTCATCACATTGCCAGTGAGTGATGATTTATCTAAAGAGATCATTTAGCTCGGTTTACCCTGTAAAAACATTGTTTAAACAAAAGGCTGTATAAAATAATAAATAATGCATTTAAGTTTTTTTTTTTTTGTGTTTGCTAATTTATAACATTCAGCTGTTAAATTTCAAAAGCTATTGTGAGGCGAACTTGAGAAGAAAGTTGAGAATCTCATGATAGAGAAGAATGTTGAGAATCTTGTGGACAGAGAAGAATTTTGAGAATCTCATGGACACAGAAGAATGTTGAGAATAACTTGGACAGAAAAGAACGTTGAGAACATCTTGGACAGAAAAGAACGTTGATAACTGCACGGACATAAAAGAATGTTGAAAATCCCATGGACAGAGAAGAATGTTGAGAATATCTTGGACAGAAAAGAACGTTGATAACTGCACGGACATAAAAGAATGTTGAAAATCCAATGGACAGAGAAGAATGTAGAGAATAACTTGGACAGAAAAGAACGTTGAGAACATCTTGGACAGTAAAGAATTTTGATAACTGCATCGACATTAAAGAATGTTGAGAATAACTTGGACAGAAAAGAACGTTGAGAATAACTTGGACAGAAAAGAATGTTGATAACTGCATGAACATAAAAAAATGTTGAAAATCCCATGGACAGAGAAGAATGTAGAGAATAACTTGGACAGAAAAGAAGATTGAGAATATCTTAAACAGAAAAGAATGTTGAGAATATCTTGGACAGAAAAGAATGTTGATAACTGCACGGACATAAAAGAATGTTTAAAATCCCATGGACAGAGAAGAATGTTGAGAATAACTTGGACAGAAAAGAATGTTGATAACTGCACGGACATAAAAGAATGTTGAAAATCCCATGGACAGAGAAGAACGTTGAGAATCTCATGGACAGAAAAGGACCCTGAAATCAAATCAATTCTGGGCCTGACCCTTCTTATTCTTATTTCTCTAAGACAGAATTGAAACAAGAAAACACAAAAAAGGGAAGACAACAATAAGAAATTTGTTCAAATAAGCATTATTATTTACTTCCCTTTATAGTGATTTAATTAGGATGCAATGATTTACACCAAGGCTGTTCAGCTAGTGGTCCGAATAGTGTCACGTTGACCAAGTGGGTGTTAATTTTTTAGCATGCAATCCTAGAAGGGAAAAATATGCAGAGTCCATCACTTAATGAGGAGTCAATATTAGAGTCATCAATTTTATCAGTCTTTCTGGATACATTGAAATTTGTTACCCAGTGGTTTAAAGCTTTCCACAAACATTTAGGATAACATATTTTCAGCCATCCTTTAGGATGACATTTTTCATTATTTGAAGCCCCATCCTGGCTCTTGCTGGGGGCCACAATATAGCCAGGCCATAAATATGGCCTAATGGCTGAACGTGGTTTCTGCAACCTCTCCACTGTGATCCTCATCCACATGGTGGCACATTGTGTCATCGGGTGTTTATCGCTGGTGTGATGTCCTGGTGGGGTAGCAAGTCAGTCAGTCAACCATCCTTTAGTAGCAAACATTTCCCACTATTCTCTATAATACCAAATTAGAAATATAAACACACAAGTCTTAATTTAATTTAGATATCTCACCTGTGGTATTCTGTGTTCTGCAAGGTATAGCTTCGCTTTATCCCTGGCAGCCATACTTATATTGCTCCCTGTTTATTAGCATACAGGAATAGACGGAAAATTAATGAGAGTGTATACCGAGGGAGGTTGGTTCAGGTTAGATGGAAAGATAAAGGTGCACTCAAAGTTTTAATTATAAATTACTGCTTTTATTGTCTTCTTCTTCGCGTGTACCAGCTGTAAACTCTAGCGGAAAGTTCTGGTTGTTCATCCACTTCTGACTGTAGTCCTGTTTCAGAACCTCAGAGTTGCATGTGCATCCATTTTACAGGTCTGACTCATTTGTATGCAGACTGCTGGTTCCTTGCCTCTCAGGCAGATGCATTCCAACTTTGAAAGAAGCTCTCAATTAGTCGACTCTTATGACATGCTTTTGGGTAGGCAGTGGGTTTATTCTTGTTTTCCCTATAACAGGGCCCCAGAACCCACACGGGGAGCTTTTATTGGAGTCAGCAACTAAGGCTGTAATGTTTAAACAGTACCACAGTAACTGACCATATGCAGCCAAATGTTGCGCCAATATGTGTGAATATATAATTATTTGCAGAAACATCATACCCTATATTAAATACATGCTTGCATTAAGTAATCACTAAACAGGCGCTGAAATGGAAAATAAAGGGACAGAGGAAACAAGGACGTCCAAGAGAAACCATAATATGAAGGTTGATGAGGGAAGCCAAAGTTGCTGGACTGGATTCTATCCATGATATAGAAGTGATTACACAGGATAGAAGAAAATGGAGGAATAGACTGAGAGCTCTGTGTGGCATATGACGGTGCATCATTACAATGAATGAATGAATTGTATAAAAGTGGATTTTTAATATTCCTTCTTTCTTTCATACACACGCAATTCAGGACTATTTGGGAAAACAACTAATCAAAATTCTGTTTGACTTCTGCATTAAAGTTCATATGTATGTTGGCAAACCCTTTCATTTGCTGTCTTTGCATGAAGTCTAATATTGGTTCCATGCTGATTTATTCTCTCTTATGACTTCTTTCCTAAAAATGACACAATTTTTTCAGTAAGTAACCAGTATTATTAATGATAACGGCACACCCTATTTTAACTTATTAACTCTTTGCAGAAGGCCATAGATGACGCTCCAGCGAGGAATTGTGAAATCAACAAAAAAATTGCTTTACTAACATCCACAGGGCCCAAATACACATCTCTTGTGGGAGACAAATATGTTATTTAAAACAGACCTGTAGAGTATACATTAGAAAAAATTTTAATCTGATATTCTACGCATTAAGAGGCTTGTATATCTTGATATTTGGTATTATACTAAGTGGCTTGCACATCTTGATTTGATATTCTTTGTACCCATTAAGTTGCTTGCATATCTTGACCTGATATTCTACTCATTAAGTGGCTTGCATATCTTGATTTGATATTCTTTGTACCCATTAAGTTGCTTGCATATCTTGACCTGATATTCTACTCATTAAGTGGCTTGCATATCTTGATTTGATATTCTTTGTACCCATTAAGTTGCTTGCATATCTTGACCTGATATTCTACTCATTAAGTGGCTTGCATATCTTGATTTGATATTCTTTGTACCCATTAAGTTGCTTGCATATCTTGACCTGATATTCTACTCATTAAGTGGCTTGCATATCTTGATTTGATATTCTTTGTACCCATTAAGTTGCTTGCATATCTTGACCTGATATTCTACTCATTAAGTGGCTTGCATATCTTGATTTGATATTCTTTGTACCCATTAAGTTGCTTGCATATCTTGACCTGATATTCTACTCATTAAGTGGCTTGCATATCTTGATTTGATATTCTTTGTACCCATTAAGTTGCTTGCATATCTTGACCTGATATTCTACTCATTAAGTGGCTTGCATATCTTGATTTGATTTTCTTTGTACCCATTAAGTTGCTTGCATATCTTGACCTGATATTCTACTAATTAAGTGGCTTGCATATCTTGATTTGATATTCTTTGTACCCATTAAGTTGCTTGCATATCTTGACCTGATATTCTACTCATTAAGTGGCTTGCATATCTTGATTTGATATTCTTTGTACCCATTAAGTTGCTTGCATATCTTGACCTGATATTCTACTCATTAAGTGGCTTGCATATCTTGATTTGATATTCTTTGTACCCATTAAGTTGCTTGCATATCTTGACCTGATATTCTACTCATTAAGTGGCTTGCATATCTTGATTTGATATTCTTTGTACCCATTAAGTTGCTTGCATATCTTGACCTGATATTCTACTAATTAAGTGGCTTGCATATCTTGATTTGATATTCTTTGTACCCATTAAGTTGCTTGCATATCTTGACCTGATATTCTACTCATTAAGTGGCTTGCATATCTTGATCCGATATTCTACTCATTAAGTGGCTTGCATATCTTGATCTGACATTCTTTCTACTCATTGTGGCTTGCATATCTTGATCCGATATTCTACTCACTAAGTGGCTTGCAAATGTTGATTTGACATTTTATTCACTAAGTGGCTTGCGTATCTTCATCTGATATTCTACTCATTAACTGACTTGCATATCTTGATCTGATATTCTACTCATTAAGTGGCTTGCATATCTTGATCCGATACTCTACTCATTAAGTGGCTTGCATATCTTGATCTGATATTCTACTCATTAAGTGGCTTGCATATCTTGATCTGATATTCTACTTACTAAGTGGCTTGCATATCTTGATCTGATATTCTACTTACTAAGTGGCTTGCATATCTTGATCTGATATTCTACTCATTAAGTGGCTTGCATTCTCTTTTTAAAATTAACATCATGAATGGGTCAAGTAGAAAGCGACTGATGTCACTGGTGGCACAGGATTTTTAAAAAAAAGTGAATATCGCAGTATATGTTCATAGTTTTATTCTAATACACGCAACCAAACGTTTCCACCAAACTTTGTTTTCTTTTTCTGAATTCAGCTGCCAACTATACTTAACAAAAAACTTAAACAATAAAGAGCATCCAATGACAGAAAAAAAAAAAAAGTGGCTTGCATATCTTGATTTGATATTCTTTGTACCCATTAAGGGGTTTGTTAAACAACAAACTGGTTGTCATAAAATGCAATGATTTAGTCATTTTCACCCTTCATTTTACTGGAAAGGATATAAAAACTGAATTAAAAGTATGTTAGCAACAAGCTTCACAAACAAAACGTGAACGTTACGGCTATGAAGCCTTTATCAGCACATACAAATCAAACAATACCACACAAATACACAAAATCACTTAGCTGGTATCTCTAAGCAGCTGGGTCGATGATTTCTCAGCAGACTGCCCACATGCGCAGTCTAGGGGAATAAATACCCCTTGTGGAATACCAGGGGCCATAACTAGGGGGGTCTGAGATAAAACTGTGAGGGCAGTTCAATCCCCAAGGAGTTTAAATGAAACTGTTTTGGCAAATAATTTTGGAGGGTGTTTAAGTATCCAAACTTTAAATAAAGCAATTCTCAAGAGACTTGCGGACTCTGTCATTGGAGTGGCTAGATTTGATGACTCACCTCCATGTCGTGGACACCTTGGTGATCCTGGGAATGGAAGTGCAATGGTACAGGGTTTCAAGGCACCATTTTGCACATTCAAAAGATGTTGTCTGAACCTGTCAGCCAGCCTTAGACCCGTTTTACCAATGTATTTCAAGCCACATCTCTTGAAGTTGATGGCATAAATGACATTGCGGCTGGTACAAAAGAATGCTTCATTTATGTGGAAGGTGGCATTCGGGAATTCTAGACTAGTCCCCTGGACCACATGTGGACAGGTCCCGCATACAGGTCTGTGGCAAGAGACCGTGCCGAAGTGGGACTCAGACGCTAGACGTAACCGACTCTTGACTAGAATGTCCTTAAGGTTACGGTCATGCCTGTAGGCCACTAGAGGAGGTTCAAAGAAAATCGTGCTGATGGCAGGGTTGGCTTTGAGGATCGAGAGATGCCTGAGGAAAATATTTTTGGTGCGGATGTTGTGAGGATGGTAGGTAAGTGTGAGGATAGGTCTGTTGTGGTGACATTTAGGCTTGGAAACGAGAGCCTCAGCATGATGGATAGAACATGCTCGGTGAAAGACGGCAGATAAGACTTATTCAGGATACCCTCGAAGCTGGAAGAAGTCCAGTATTTCTAGATCCTTGTTGTGAAAGTCGTCGTTCTCCTGGCATAGTCTGCGGAGGCGAAGAAGTTAGGAGAACGGAATTGAGTCCTTGCAAGAAGAGGGGTGGGAAGAAAAGCGTGGGAATCAGTAGGCTTGTAGTACACCGAGGTGCTGAGGCCTATAGAGTTCACGGTGACAAAGAGATCTAGAAAATGCACGACGAAGGTGAGATGCTAGATATGCATCGGATGCTGGGATGAAAGTTATAGAAAAAATTAATGAAGTTCTGCAGTTCTGGTAGAGGCATATTGGTTACACTGATACAATCATCGATATACCTCCTGTAGAGCTCGGGGAGCTTACCGATATCTGCATGACGTTTTTTGGTGCTCGAGGTGCCCCATGAAGAGGCAGGCATAGCTGGGAGCTGGGTCCCATCTTGGTCCCCATAGCGACACTGCTGATCTTGAAATACTGGCCATTAAACTCGAATGAGTTTAGAGTGAGCATTAACTCAGCCAGACGAATCAAAGGGGTCAGTGGCTATGGCAGCACTGACTCTCTGATCTAGAAAGAACCGCAAAGCCTGGAGGCCATCCGTATGTGGAATAGAGGTGTAGAGGGAGGTAACATCTAAGGTGAAGATGTGGTACCTGGAAGAAGAGGTGAACCAGATAGATTGAAAGATAGAGATAGCATGGTTGGTATCTTTGATGTAAGATGGAAGATCAACGACCAGGGGCTGCAAAATATGGTCGAGGAACCCGGATATGAGCTCTGTGGGACAAGCACAGGCGGACACGATCAGTCTATTTGGTTTGTCCAATTTATGTATCTTGGGAAGCATGTGAAGGCCAGGCTTCCCCAGACAACTGTCCTCAACAAATAGAGAGCTGGCC